TGGCCCCCCCCCCCCACGGGACGATGCTTTGCCCTCCTGGGGCAGCGAGCCGGGGGGGGGGAGAACGTCCGCAGGCTGCTCTGGAGCTCCCACGCAAAGGCTTTTTACGGACATTTCTGGTTAAATCCACAGCACCTTCCCGTGTGGTCTTTTTAGCCCCGTGGTAAATCTTTGTTTTGAGATATTAAAAGAATGCAATTATTTCCCAGAGCAGCCAAAACAAAAGCTCTTGCCCAGCTCTGGCATGTGTGAGGACACACCATATTGATTGAAGAGAGAGATAGCTCGGGCATTACTCATCCCCGCACTCAGACCTGGATTTTCCCACCGCTTCCAGCAGCTCCGGGCAGGGTGAGACAGAGCAGGGGCTCGGGAGCGGCCGCGAGGGATGAGCTAATCCAGCACCGGCCCCACGCTGCAGGCTCCGTGTGGCGGAGGTGTCGCAGGACGGTCTTGCAATGTGGGTGTCGGAGGGCTGAGATGGGACGGCAGCCGGCTGAGGACCCTCGCCGCGCCGGGTAGCTCTAACAGGCACCGGGGTCCAGGTCTCGGAGACAGCCATGCACTGAACTTCTGCGCGTCCGTGGCTGTGATCCGCCTTGGTGCACAGAGGACTGCACCATCTCGACGCAGTCAGGACACTGGTACCTTGCACTGCTGCTGTCCCTTATTTTTGCTGTCAGTGGCCATGCGGCATCTCTGTTCCTCACAAGACGTCATGAGATGAACAACTCCTCCCCTAGTGAGTCCCCATCTGCAGTGCTGTGTCCAGTTCTGGGCTCCCCAGTTCAAGAAAGATGAGGAGCTACTGGAGAGAGTCCAGCGGCAGGGTGAGGGGACTGGAGCATCTCCCCTACGAGGAGAGGTTGAGGGAACTGGGCTTGTTCAGCCTGAGGAAGAGAAGGCTGCGAGGGGACCTTATAAATGCCTACAAATATCTGAAGGGTGGGTGTCAGGAGGATGGGGCCAAGCTCTTTTCAGTGGTGCCCAGTGACAGGACAAGGGGCAACGGGCACAAACTGAAGCAGAGGAAGCTCCAGCTGAAGATGAGGAAGAACTTCTTCCCTCTGAGGGTGACGGAGCCCTGGCCCAGGCTGCCCAGGGAGGCTGTGGAGTCTCCTTCTCTGGAGATATTCCAGCCCCGCCTGGCCGCGGTGCTGTGCAGCCTGCTCTGGGTGACCCTGCTTGGGCAGGGGGTTGGACTGGGTGACCCACAGAGGACCCTGCCAACCCCAAACATTCTGTGATCCTGTGATTCTGTGTAACTTCTTGCAGCTTCAGTCTGGTCCTGTGTCCTTTCCACCCTCAAACCTGCCCCCAGGCTGAACACACCACACCGTAACCCACGGGCAAATCTCTCTCCCTCTCTTAAAATGAGTCAGCTCCCACCAGTATGGGGGGGGGATTGTCCGAAGAAGATGCTGCGCTGAGGCAGAGTTGCGGTAATGAATTATTTACTGGCAGTAACAGGAGCTGGGTTTCAATCTGCCAGTGGCCAGCAGGGCCCACAGGGAAGATAAACAAGGCGTAGATGAGATTAACTAAACTGCTGTAATTTCAATGTCAAAGTAAACAGATCGGATCCTGTTCAGGCACGGCCCAGAGATTGCAGAAGAGCTGAAGGGGGAAGGTACAAACCTTCCTTATTGCAAACAACAAAGCGATTTCCCTTGGCTCGGATGAAAGCGGCTGCGTCTCCCGGGCAGCCCGCAGAGCAATGCTGTCGCGGGATGGCTCGCGGGTTAGCCCACTGGTCCAAGAAAGCGCTTGAGCACGCACTGAACCTTAATATTCCCGTTGATTTGTAAGGATGCTTTCCAGAGGCTTTCCCCGTGATGAAAGGAAGAGGAGCCTTGGGCAGCTTCTCGCTCTGTTTCTACCGGATAAATTATTTTCTGCAGTTTTCGTGTTGTCGCTGAGACGTAGGCTGAAGTATGCTTTTGTTCCAGACCGGCTCAGGAAGCCTATTTTAATGGAAATGTCAGGGGACACAGATCTAAGTCCACTGGAATCCACTGATAAGGATCCTCTATTGTGACAGCGTTGCTACTGCTTTCTTGGCAGCGGGGAAACCCACTAAAATTCCCCCTGCCTCCCCCAGTTGCAGCCTTAGAAATCCTAAACGGGGTTTCTCCAGCAGCAGCCCTTTGTACCGCAGGCCCCAGTGCATGTCCGCTAAAACCAACATGAAAGTCATCAAGGAATTTGGCTCCATGTCAGGTAAACCTGCTCCAAGCTCCTCTAATCAGCTTGGTGCTTTGTCATAACGGAAGCTCTGTTTACTTGCAGGCTCCTAGCTTTCTATTTATTTATTTATTTCTCATTTGAAAATAAACGCTCCAGCGTTACGTCAGCGCTAAAAACATCCACGTCGTGGTCACAACCTGCGGCTCTGCCGTCGGAGTCGGTGGCAACAGGCTCTGTTCACCCCTGCTTGTGGACTGGCAAAGGAATAAAGGTTCCCCAGACGTCACGCTCACAGCAGCGAGCCCTCCAAGAGGGACAGGAACAGCTCTGCTAGCCATTAAAATGCCAAAGACGACAAAAACTTTAACGGTCACCTCTGGCTGGCGGTCTCCCGAGCTGGCAGCATTCCTCACCTGCTGCTGGGTAGTGCTCAGGCAGGTGTGAAACCCATTCCCGCTCTGAAAACACTAAGGAAACTGGTTTTGCTCTGATCCTCCCGATTGGGTGCCCCATCCATCCCCAGAAGAAGGGAAACACATTAGCACCAATGGGAACCTTTTGAGAAGTAATTTATGGCCTATCACACATAATGATTACAGCAGAGGCCACCTCTACACCCCACTTCCACTGCAGCTGTGGATTACACCAGTCTGCAGCCACCATCCATCCATCCATCCATCCATCCATCCATCCATCCATCCATCCATCCATCCATCCATCCACCTTCCCAGTCTGCTCTGGGTAAAGCCCAGCTCGTGTTTTCCAGCTTGATAACTACTCAGTGGGCAGATTTTGTGCCCGGGCTCGTCAGGATC